TTTTCTTCCTAATCTGTTTTTAGCGCATAAACTTTGTTTTAAATGAAAGAAAAAAGTTAAAATGCAAGCATTCACATTTCCCTCGGCCCAGGCATTGAAATCTTGGTTACACTCTGGAAATGCCAGGACATCACAGGTCTGCAGTTGGCAGGGCAGAACCTCACAGGACAGAGCCCCCCACATGTTAAGAGCCAGAGGAAGAGAAGGTCCAGGCCTGCAGATGAGGAGCAGTGGGCTGCCCAGGCACCTCAGATGCCAGAGTGCCAAGGGGCCAGGGGTCAGAGCTCAGGACGGGCCAGAGGTCAGCAGGACCTTGCTTGGAGCCCCTGCAAAGATGTGGCATGATAACAGGAAGTGAGAACAGGTTCTTGTCATTTAAACAAAGTCAATAGGAACATCAGGGGACACAGGAACATCAGGGGACGCAGGAGTTAATCTTGAACAAAGTTGGAGGCTCTGCCACGCCCTCTGAGGCTATGAGTAGAAGACACCTTCCAGGCCTGGTAGGGTTGCCAACCATGGACCACGGCTTCTCTAACAAAAGGACAGCCGGAATTTGCTGGACAGATAGATCCTGGCACTTGCCTAACCTCTTGTCATCCATGTTCCTTCCCAAAAGCCATTTAGATTCTGCCACTTTAGGCAAGAAGCCCAACTACTTGTGCTGGGGAATCCCACAACCCATGCTCACCTACCTTCACGCGTGCCCTCTGGACTCTGAGTAAAGCCTGAGCATCACAGTGTGAGGACCAGGGAGAGGTTGAGGCCTCCCACCTTTTCCTTCCTGAAGGCCTGTTTTCAGGAAATGACAAAGTCTGTTTCACACTGTGGATACCAGGTCTGTTTACATAATTACTGTGAGCCAAACGAAGTCAGAGACAGAAAAATATATAACTGTCCAAGCACCACCTCCAAACTCTTTCCAAGCCTCTACTGCCTAGCACTGTCACAATCTCAAGATAACAGATAAAAAGCTTGTTCTGCTTTCTTTAAATAGAGGGAAGAGTGAGCCTGCCTGAAGACAGCCTGACTGAACACAGTGACAGTGGCCTTGGAGTTAGACAGGCTGCTCTGGCTGGGCTAAGGGTCCCAGGGTCTGCGGCCTCGGCTTTCTGGCCTATACAGGGAGGTAGTGCTGCCTACTACATAGGGCCCTGTGAAACGCCCATCACAGTGGACTTTGCTCTGATGGCATCAGCAGCACACGAGGACAAATGGGCATCTGTTCGCATTTGACCAAACAAGGAACACTGTGTACACATCAAAATGAACTGAGTGTCTGGCAGCCAAATCATAAGCCGAGTATGAGCTTTGCTTTCCCTCTGGCATCTCAGCCCAAGATGCCACCAACAGGTGGCTGTGGGGATTGGACTCCGGGGCTGCAAGGTGCACCACATGTCCTGTCAGGCTTGGATAGAAAAAAATTGCTTCTTTTATCACTCTTCTGTAACTGAAATTTAGTCTTTCCTTCCATAAATAAAGTCCACAAACTGCAGCAAAACCACCACCCTGAGAAACTACCAAGGTTTCTATCACATGACACTTGCAGACACAGAGTCACTTTGCCCTCATCAGTGACCTCCAGATGACATCCTGTCAGTCTCCGCCAGAGCCTGGCCTACTGCTCTCCAGGTGTGGTAAGAGTTTGATGATTGTGTTCCAGTGTGCTTGTATGTGAAGTGGCTTGGTGTTTTATGAGAAGGATGCATAGGCCCCATCAGCCCACCTGGGTCCCCTGTCAAGGCAGAGCTGCCACCCCCTTCCTGAAATAGGGAAGGCAGTGTCCCTTATAAAGCACAGCTCTGTCCCCAGACCCACAGCGAGGGCTCTCATTTTCTGGGTCCCTCATCTCTTCAGTCAATCAGGCTTTCCTTTTCTAAGTGCAACTTGCCCATGAACTCCGGGCCCTCCACGGTGGCTGCAGATGAGAAGGTGTGAGGCCAGGAGGCCAGACTCGCAGTGTACTGTTGGTCAGGACAGTTGCTGGTTAAATCCAGGTACCTATTGTCATTACTGACTCTGGTCGCCCACCCTATGTGGCTTGTGGGGCGGCCTGGCTTGACATGCAGGCCTGGCTCGGGTAATGAGGTAAGTTCTAGTGCAACGAGAGGTTCTTATCATCGCTGGTGGGACCACAGCCATTCCTCACCCCTATGGAGAACAGAGCACTGAGGGCCCAAGACAAGCCAGTCTGTGCAGCTTCCTTCTCAGGTCAGGTCCTTGCAGAGCCTTCTGGCTGTGGCTCCTGGTGGGAGGGACATCTGAAGTATGGGAGTGACCAGAGTGTTCACTGTCTCTAAGTTGTGCCCCCATTCACCCCTGGGCTTCAATCATCCACGGACGCTGCAACTTGCAGAGACCCCACTCTCTGGCCAGCTATGCTCATTCTTGAGACCAGAAAGGACCTAGTCTATACCAGGTCCCAAGTGGAGGCCTAATGTGGGGAATCACGCCTGCCATCAGCCCAGCTCCCATGCATCATTCTGCAAGGCCCCTCTTCCTTCCCTCCTTGCCGCTCATGGGGGTAGGGGCACTCAGCACACACCCCTGGGAGCCACTCGCCCACCTCCTCAGCCCTCAGTTTCTTGTTGTGAAGTGAGGATAAGGTCTGACCCCACTTCTGGGGTCTCCTCTATGTGGGGACAGTGGTCTGCCTGTGCTCTGACAGCAGTTCCCAGTGGCACCTCTGTGTCCATCCATTCTCTTACTCTCCAAGGTCAGACAGCGTTTCTTACAGAGCTTTTGTTTCCCAGCTAGATGCCTTTGTCAGGAATCAAAGACTCCACCCCAAGCCGGCTCGATGCCAGGCTACAGAGGCCTGTCCCACCAGCCCTTCCAGAGAAGGCAGCAGCCCTGCCGTGGCCCTGCCTGTGTCCTGGGGAGTCTGAGTGATAAGGTGCCTGTGCTCACACAGAGTCTCAGGAAGCCAGTGGGCACTGTGACCAGGCCTTAGTGGACAGTGGACCTTGAGGGAGAGCCAGAGGGAGGTGGAGGGGGGAGCAGAGGGGTGGGGCGCAGCCAGTCAGAGCCACTGACCGGGAGGGGAGACCCTCTGTCTTTGCCTGGGCCCAACTCCATCCTTTGGGTTCAGTGAGTAGCCAGCACCCAGCCCCCGGTCAGGGTTCAGAGACTCAGGCCCAAGATGTGTAGTGCAGGGTGAGTGGGCGTTGTTTCAGGAAGACGGGCAGATTCAGGAGGAAGCAAACGTCCTATGTCTTCTAGTCACACCTCACTGCCCAGGAGCACTGGGTGTGACCAGAAGACATAGGACCCCTAGCATCTCCTCGCCTTCTTCCTCCCTGGCCCCCTTCAGTGTACGGTGTCCCAGAGCCTCATTTGCTACGGGGCGTGACCCCCTGGAGAATCACCCTGCATCCAGCCCTGAGCCCCTCAATGACAGCTGTACTTGATTGGACAGAATGGAGGTGGTGTGGGCACAGAGATGATGGACAAATGGCTGCTACCCTTAACTTCCAGTCACCTGTTTCAGGAAGCGACACCTGACAGAGGAAATCGGACGTTCAGACAACTTTGTTAGAGGAAGGAGAATTTAATGCCAGCGGAGCACGTGAGGCTTTAACTGCACCAAAGCATGAGCTCGCCCTCGTTAGATTTCTTATAGCTTATAGACCTCTGCAGTGTCCATTGGAAGGGATATGTGATTCCTTTGTCTAAAGTTCTGCGTGAACCTCTTTCCTCAGGATAGGGAGGGGGAGTTTCAGGTGGGGGCTACAAGAGGGAAGGAATTACCGGATCACTAGTCCTATCTATTTACAGATCATTTCTCTTGTAGATGTGGCAAGAATTTCCAGAAGGCCATTTAAAAATCTATAGGATGTGGTTAATCTATAACCGGCTGAGTAATCTCAGGCTCAGCCTTCACACACCTTCCCACAGCCCACCCCCCTACCCACCAGCCCCTATTCCTTCCTCCTCCTCTGGTTTTTTCTTCTCCCAACTCGCTGGACTTGCAAGGTGCCCTCTGCTCCTTTGGTGATAAAAGTGCCCAAGTAGACACAGAAAGGGTTTTAATTTGCATTTCTCTGAAGATTAGTGACACTGAACATCTTTTCATATATCTATTGGCCATCTAAATAGACATTTCTCCTATGAGGACATACAGATGGCCAATAGACATATGAAGAGGCTCAACATCACTAATCATCATAGAAATGCAAATTAGACATCGTTGTTAGAATGACATCATCAATAAATCAACAAACAACAAGTGTTGACAAGGATGTGGAGAAAAGAAGACCCTCATGCACTCTTGGTGGGATTGCAAATTCATGCAGCCACAATGGAAAACAGCTTGGAGATTCCTAAAAAAAAATTAAAAATACAACTACCATATGATCCAGCAATTCCACTTCTGAGTGTTTATCTGAAGGAAACGAAATCATTACCTCAAAGAGATATCTGCACCCCCATGTTTACTGCAGTGTTATTCACAATAGCCGAGACATGGAAGCAACCTAAGTGCCCATCAATAGGTAAATGTATATTGAAGATGAGGTATTATGTATATATTACTCAGCCGTGACAAAGAAGGAAACCCTGCCGTTTGTGGCAACATGGATGGACCACGAGGGTATCATGCTAAGTGAGCTAAGTCAGAGAAAGACACATATGTATGATCTAATTTACATGTGGAATAGAAAATAGCAGA